CACCTCTTTGATTCACATCTACGATTCATGATAATCTATCAGTGGAAACCCTGACATAGGGTTTCTAAATCATCAACGGATTTCTCTTCCAAAGCAGCGTGTTTGTGCCTTAGATGTCAATATAAATGAAAGATTGGCCAGCAGAAATATAAAAAGATAGGGAGATCAAATTCTGACTGTTCAGAGTGTCAAAATACCCTTTTATGTTTGAAAACTCAATGTTGGGCGGAATTTCATAGTATATCCTAATATCTATTACGATCCTTAATTAGGGTTTATATATTACACTAATACCAATGAATACTCAAAAATACACTGATTATTCAATGAGATCTCGTATAATATACACTAATGAAACCACGCTAATTTTGCACAAACCTACGGACGAGGGGATAGTTGAAGCCTCATTCTTGGTGATGCTTTCATTTATGTTGTTGTCTGTGCTCTTGCTCACACATCTGGCCATTCTGGGACTGCATGTGCTGTTATCTGATGTGGGTTTCACCCTGCTGGCTCTCCATCTCTGACTCCTGGTTGGACGGGTTTGACGTCCAACTGGTTTGGGTCCAGCGTGTTCGACTAATGTTTGTTTTTCTGTGATTAAAATCACTCCAGAATGAAGCCTTTCCGTTTTTTTATATATTTTGCTATTTTTATTTACTTTGTTGATCTTGCACCGCTTTGCGCCGCTCCGTTGCCTGGGGTGAAAATATATATATTTAGTTGGGTCTGGTTGGGTTGATGGCTTACCCCATCAAACATCGCACCTCAACTCATTGACTTTGACACTAAAATTTAACCCCTTCCCGGCGGAATTATCGCTTTTGATTTGGATATGTTGTATTTCATATCCACTCCGGCCTACATGCAAAGTTTGAAGTCAATTGACTCCGTAGTTGATTAGACGTTCAACGTCTGAAACCAAATGGAATGTACGTCCAATCTGCCCTGCTCTGATTGGTCGGGTTTTCTAACCCTGAATGGAATGGACGTCCATTCCACCCCCACCTGTTGGATAGGGAAGAGGGAGCTCGACCGCGACCGGGCCACTGCGGGCACGCGGAGGCGGGAGCGGGAGCACGCACGGGCGGCCAATCAGGGACGGAGAAAATCGGACGGGGGCGCATCGGACCACGCACTATGTATAACTTGGATAGTTTAACCCTAACCCTATAACCTTCAACGGGCATGTCCAGCGGGTTTGACTTTTAAATGGTTTCATCCCACTGGTTTGGGTCCAACGGGTTAACGGGTTCGTTCAACGGGTTCGACCCCTGAACACCCCTCACTCTAACCCTGACTCTGACCACCTCATCCTCCCCCCCAGCCTCTACCCTCACTCTTTGTAACCCTAACCCTGGCCCATTATTGTATGGGATAATGCTCTTTAAAACTCCCATATTTTTGAAACCCCCCCTCTACCTTCTGATATAATCGTCCAGCGTGCTCGACTTCCAACGGGTTGATGGGTTCATCCAACGGGTTCGGGTCCAATGGGTGAATGGGCTCCTTGGACGGGTTTGACATCCAACGGGTTTGGGTCCAGCGTGTTCGACTAATGTTTGTTTTTCTGTGTTTAAAATCACTCCAGAATGAAGCCTTTCGGTTTTTTTATATATTTTGCTATTTTAATTTACTTTGTTGATCTTGCACCGCTTTGCACCGCTCCGTTGCCTGGGTGAAAATATAGATATTTAGTTGGGTCTGGTTGGGTTGGTGGCTTACCCCATCAAACATCGCACCTCAACTCATTGACTTTGACACCACAATGTAACCCCTTCCCGACGGAATTATCGCTTTTGATTTGGATATGTTGTATTTCATATCCACTACGGCCTACATGCAAAGTTTGAAGTAATGGGGTGGCTGGCTGCCGCGGAAGGGAAGGGAAGAGGGAGCTCGACTGTGACCGGGCCCCACTGCGGGCACGCGGAGGCGGGAGCGGGAGCACGCACGGGCGGCCAATCAGGGACGGAGAAAATCGGACGGGGGCGCGTCGGACCACGCACTATGTATAACTTGGATAGTTTAACCCTAACCCTATAACCTTCAACGGGCATGTCCAGCGGGTTTGACTTTTAAATGGTGTCATCCCACTGGTTTGGGTCCAACGGGTTAACGGGTTCGTTCAGCGGGTTCGACTTCCAATGGTTTCAACGTCTCAACTTCCAATGGGTTGCCAATTGTAAAGAGCCTCACTTTGCAAATTCAAAAGAATGTATATTTGCTCCCAAATCAGGAAAGCCATCAGTACAGACAAATAACTCGGTCTCTACTGATGTAAATGATAGCAATAAATAAAAAAGAAGGAATTCTCAACTCTCTGAATCTGCTATCTCTGAATCTTCTGCGAGGCAAAAAATTAGATCACAGAAGTCACCAAGAACCTCTGTTCAAACAAAATAAGGGATACACATATGCAGAATATGATAGCAGTTGAAGTTGTGAATAATAGATTCAGTTTGTTATCTGACTCTGAATAAAGAGAAATACTTGTTAATATTTGTGTAATGTTAGAAAAACAACAAAAAAATGTTAAAAGCTCGACAAAAATCACATTTCTCGTCCGTAGGTTGGTGCAAAATTAGCGTGGTTTCAATTAGTGTATGGAATTCTGCACCGGCGCCCTGGGCATAACCAATAGAATCCTATATGATTTTATATGAATAATAATTGGTCATTTAGATCCACTGATTGAAGATCTCATGTAGATCTTAAGAATGTGTATGGAATTCAACATGTTTGAAGCCCTGCCTGTCTGCCTGCCTGCCCGATTCTCATATCTTCTCCCACCTATCCCCCTACCCGCGAATATGGAACCCCCCAAACCTGCGAATGTGGAATCCACTGAGAAACCTACTAAATCCAATGGTGAGTTCCTTATATTAATCAATTCAAATAACCTAGCTAACTAATTCATTCTCTAGATTTATACAAAAACATCAAGAAAATGAAAACAGTCTGCCGTTATTGGTTATTGCAGAACTTCCACCTCTAGAATCAGTGAAATCAATCC